CCTGGCGCACAGTTGAGACTCTGTACGCCACTTGACTGCCTCCCAGCTTGGCCAACGAGTCCATGATCTTGCCAAGGACATTCATGAGGATCAGCGGGTCTGGCAGCGTGACCTTAAGTTCTTCAGCTCGCTGCAACCATCGGCGCCATTGCCGCATCGTCGCCAGGAGCTCCGTGACAGAGTGACCCACCTTCACTTCGGTGAGGCTTTTGAGAAGCGTTGTGCGTTCAGCTCCTCCTCCAGGTTGAAACACTACAAACAACTTGAACAGGATGCTCACAGTTGTGACGTGGCGAGAGGAGATGACATCTCTTCTCAGTTGTTCGGGCAGGATGCCCAGCAGCAATGACACTCCTGCAATGCCGCGCCTTCGGATGAAGGTAATGGAAGGGCAGGAAGATCCAAAGCCCTGACGGTCTCTGGAACGACCGGAGCCAGCGGGGTTCGAGCCTCCCCATGAGGTTGTCCACCATGAAGGCCTGGGGGAGGATCTGGTCCTGACCCGGGAGGTCCACCTGCACCTGAGGGATCACCATGTGGTAGTCCAGGATGTGTTGTGGTTCCACGACCATCAACTCCACCACTGGCAACGGAGGCATACGACGATGCATCACCACCACCTGCTCCATCAGTTATGCGTTTGACTTCACGAGCGAACTTCTCCTCCGCCTCTTTGAGGATCTGGGTACGAAGTTTCTCAACATCCCCAGGTCCTGGACTTCCGTTGGTAGCCCGAGCACCTGCACTTTCTGCCATTCTCACATGACCTTCACCTCGTGCAGCTTGTTGAATTGAAGTGGTCCAGAAGGGGTTCACAGTGGCAAGGGGGCCCTGTGGCGTGCGAAATGGTTCAAGCACCCTGGGTTTCACCTCCTCCCGCTCTACCTGCCTTGTGCTTGCAGGCGTGCCCATTCGTGGATCACCATGTGGAGCTCCGGGTTGATGTGGAGTTCCAGTCAAAGAACCTTGCCCAGCAAAAAGTCCGCCACCTGGTGGATGAGGTAGTCCCGAACCAGGTCCTTGAGGTAGTTCAGAACCTCGAAGAAGGGGGTCAAGAAGTCCCGGAGCAGGAGATGGTGGCATGTGGTGGCCCAAAGCCTGTTGCAACAACTCGAACGACTGGCGTGCTGCATCTTGCAATCCGCCCAGTCCCAAGGCATTGGCCCGAGGATCATGCAGTGCACTCATGACGCCCCCAGCTAGGGCAGACTGCCCAGTGGTTCCATCGTGATGCCCGCCATGATGTCCAGGTTGTTGTGCCCCACTTCCTTCTCTTCGCCCTCTCTGAGAATCTGCTGCCCCATCAGCGGCAGGATGCATAGCCAAGCGCCTGACAGCCAGATCATCTTCCGCAGGCAATGACGAAGCCCTTGCTGCTCGTTGCTCTCGGAGCAGGCGGTCAAGCTTCTGATCTGCTGTCTCCTCTGGTAGTCGTCGTTGTCGATCTTCTCGATGTGCACGTCGAGCGTCCGGCCCATCTGGTGCACCAGGGTCGGCTCTTTCGCGAGAGCCTTGCCTTCTTCGTCTCTGCAGCGCTGCCATGGCGGCCAACAACCACACCTCTCGCACAGAGGTTGTGGGTGGTCTTCGAAAAAGCTAGGCCGTTGGGCTCATAACCTAAGGAGGTATGAGTTGGGGTGCAATGCAAGCGGTCCTTTTTCCACCTGCTCAGCTTGAGCCAAACCGTTTGGTTGGCGAAGTTCATCAACACAGCTCGAATCGAAATGCTCGATCGAAAAGCGAAAATGCTCATGAGGTGCATGGTGTTTGTCCCACACAATCATTTGTCTTGATGCCATAGTGAGGAGCATGTTGCCATGGTCGTGAATATTGTAGTTCTCGATTTTGCTTGCTGTGGTTGGGTGTTGTGGTTGTGGTTGTGTTTGTGATTGTGTGTCTGTGGCTGTGTGTTTGTGATTGTGTTTGTGGTTGTGTTTGTGGCTGTGTGTTTGTGGATGTGTTTGCGGTTGTGTTTGTGGTTGTGTGTTTGTGGTTGTGGTTGTGGTTGTGTTTTTGTGGTTGTGTCTTTGTGGTTGTGTTTTTGTGGTTATGTGTGTGTGGTTGTGTGTTTGTAGTTGTGTGTTTGTGGTTGTGTTTTTGTGTTTGTGTTTTTGTGGTTGTGTGTTTGTGGTTGTGTGTTTGTGGTTGTGTGTTTGT